AAAAAAAAAAAAAAACAAAGATTAGGGAAAGAATAAAAATCATATCATTTACATTAAATGCAAATAGACTAAAAATTCTAATTAAAATGCAGAGATTGTCAGAATGGATTTTAAAAAACTCCGCCTAGTACATGCTTTTAAAATTTTACATATAAAAACACAAGTTGAGAGTAAAAGGGTAGAAAAAGGCATACCATGCAAACAGTATAGTCAGCTGATTTCTGACAAAGACATTGAGTTATATCAGTGGAAGAAATGACAGCCTTTTAACTAATGGTGATGGAACAACTGGGCATCCTTATAGAAAAGCAATGAACTTTGACCTCTACCTCATGCCAAATACAAAAACTAATTTGACATAATCACAGACCTAAATGTAAAAGATAAAACTATGTAACTCCTAGAAAATAAACATAGGAAAAAAATCTCACAAGCTGGTAGGCAAAGATTTAAGGACACAAAAAACACTAATCATTAAAGAAAAAAATGCAATAAACTGGATTTCATAATAATTAAGATGTTCTGTTCATCAAAAGACACAATTAAGAAAATGAAAAGTTACAGATTGGGAGAAAATATTCACATACTCACAGACATAAATGAAAAAGGTCTTGTTTCCAGACTATATAAAAAACTATTTAAATTCAACAATAAGACAAACAACTTGATATTAGAAGACACTTGACAAAGGAACATATATGTATGACCAAAAAGCAAATGAAAAGGTACTCAACATTATTAATCAGGGAAATACAAATTAAAATGACAATGAGATACTACTGTATACCACCAGAATAGCTAAATCGAAGACTGACAACACTAAATGCAGACGAGAATGTGAAGCCATTAGAATTCATTTTTTTTTCTGGTTAGAGTGTAAACTGGTACAATCACTTTGGAGAACTGTTCAATGGTTTCTCATAAAGTAAAGCCCCCATCTACCCTATGACCCAGCAAAAATACTTACACAAAAACGTATGGCAGCTTTGGGAATTCCCTGACAGTCCAGTGGTTAGGACTCCACGCTCACACTGCCAAGGGCCCCGGGCTCAATGCCCGGTGGGGGAACTAAGATCCAGCAAGCCGCACAGTGTGGCCAAAAAAAAAAATGTATGGCAGCTTTATTCATAACAAGCAAGCTCTAGAAACACACAAAATATCCAGCAATAGATGAATGGATAAATGAATTGTCGTATATTCATACAGTGGAAAACCACTCAGCAGGAAAAAAAGAATGGTCTATTGATATATGCAATGACATAGATGAAACATGAATCTCGCAAACACTGTTGAAGGAAAGCAGCCAGAAACAAACAAGTACATATTGTATGACTCCATTTATACATAGTTCAAGAACTGGCAAGCTAATCGTTGTTGAATGAAATCAGAACAGTGGTTGCTTTTAGGGTTGGGGAAATTGGTGATAAAGCTCAACAGCCAAAGACCACCAGGGACAAAACAGGAGTCCAGCAAAGTTAGGTTTCTTAACTTGCTGAAAAGGGAGAGTTATCCAGGGGAACCATGAAGGGCCCCTTTGACGAGAGAAAGGAGGGAGGTTGTCTTGTTTCGTTTTGTGTAAGGTGTGGGCTCCAAATAACCTTACAAGGTGTATTTGAGTTGGACGTGCAGCACTTATATGAACTCATGATTTGAGAAAGGGCGGGGGAAGACGCAGGGGAGAAAGAGAGAAAGAAGAGTGATAAACATCGTCCCCATTTTACAATTGAAAACATTCAAATTAAAGGATTCTACTCTGGTGAAGAATTTAGGATTGAATCCAGTTCTCAGGCCAAATCCAAAACTGCCACACCAGACATCCGGCTGGTTTCAGGAAAAGAGAAGGCTAAGCATTAGTCTATCTCAGAGTGGTGCTGTGTAATAAAACGTTCAGGATTTTAACGTCTAATTTACACTGTTTGAAACAGTGGTCACAAGGGAACAGTAGAGGTCCCATATACTACCAAACCAAAAAAAGAGAACACTTTTCCTAACAGTTTCTTGTTTGTGTAATGAATAGCAAGTTAAACGCGTGCAGACTTCTCACTGGAACTCCGAATATGAATAAAAGAATGAGCTCCAATAAGATGTCTGCAACCTTGGTTAGTCGTTCACTGAACACACGTTTACTGAACCAGTGTGTCCATTCCTTTGCATAGAGAACAGTTTGGGGAGGAAAAAATAACACCGGAGTTTATTTACAAAACAGGAAGCTCTCACATTGGAACAGATTTCTTACAACGAGGATCCCAAAGAGGCAATCAAAACACTTTTTGCACTGTTTTGCTGGAAACGCAGGGCACTGTCAACGGTGTGGTACATTAGGTATCCTCAAACTTTAATGTGCATCTGAATCCCGGGAAACGTGTTAAAATCTAAGTTCTGATTCAGTAGTGCTGATGTGGAGCTAAGACAACGCATTTCTAAAAAGTTCCCAGGTGATGCTGAGATTGCCAGCCGAAGGGAGACTGGGGGCGCGCGCGGGGGCGAGCAACTCCACTTTGAGTAACCCAGAAGCTCTAAGCAACTGGAAAAAAGAAATTCAAAAACCCGTCCTTCCGAGGGAGGCGGAGCCTGCCCGGGCAGACGAAAAGCGAGCTAGGCTGCGCCTGGTATCCCGCACTCCACCGCCCGCCTTACCCCAGGATCAGCAGCGCGCTCTGCAGCCGTCTCCGCACTTCCAGGAACACGCGCGCCTCCGCCGCAGCCGCCGCCATGGCGGGCACCCAGCCAGGGGCTCCAGCGACCCCGGGTACCAGGGCCGGAAAGGGGCTGCAACGTGCGACCAGAGCAGGAGTAGGAGCGGCAGCGGCGGCGGTGTGGGCGGCGCGGGCCTCCGGGACCCGGAGGTCGGCTGCCCGCCAGCCCACAGCGCCACCTGCCGGGAGAAAGGCGCGCCGCCGCGGGGACTCCATCTGGGGGGCGTGGCAGTTTCAAATCCCGGCTTTGGGTCTGAGCGCGGAGCAAGATGGGCGGGGGGCGGGGGGGGGGGGGTGGAGCCGAAGTGTCCTCCCACGGTGCCACCTGATGCATCCGGCTCCCTGGAAGTGACCTTCAAAGTCAGACCCCCAGTGCAGTGCTTTGGTTAGCCGTGGGTAGGGAGGAGACTGGACGAGAGGGTGGTGATGGAGAGGGGTCGGTATAGCCGGGCACTGTCCCCAGGAGGCCAGAGAGCCGAACTCCCCACCCCAAACACACTGTATCTTGGATTTTTTTTGTTTTTGTTTTAATGAACTACGGTTGTTTTTTGTTTTTCCTGTTTTTTAATGAACGCTAGTCGGCCGTTTGGTAGCTCTGTCTGAGGCAACAAATGTCCAGGACTGACGTGGCGTTGCTTCTCAATTTAGACCCAGTCGCTCCAGGATGGAAACGGTTGCAAAAATGTGAGAAGTTTTCTGTTATCTTGCAGAAGAGAGTGTGGTTAAATCCAGTATCATGAAGCACAGGATCAATCATTCCCATAACTTTTGAAAAGAGGAAGATGAGAATGACTCCATATGTACATTTCCTCTCTTCACTTTGGCAAAAGTAAAACCTGACTCAGGGAAGTTGTACTATCATTGCTACTAGAAGATGTTTTTGGAAAGTTTGACCCAGTAAAGAAAAGGATCTAAGTACATCTAAGGATGTAAGTACTTATCATGGGAATATATTAAAACATAAGGCCATGGTAGAATTATAATGAAAATTCTTTTCAAACAAGAGGCTTTAAAAAAAATAGAAACAATGATTGCTTGTATGTAGAAAATCGTATGTTTATTGATATTCTACTTTATCATTTCAACGTCACAATTATCACACACCAAACGTATTAATTTGAAGATTTTCCAAATAAATAATAAAGCCATGTCCCTAGAGATACTAGTTTAAGACAGTTTTTCTAAAATCTATATTTGGAGTTTTTAAAGTTTATTGTTTTGCCTCACAAGTTCCTGTATCCATCAGAATAATTAAAAATCATGGCTGGATGTAACACAATTAAAAGAATTAAGTTGACTGCTATTTCATCTCAATGGTGATGAAGCGTGATGGTTTTGATGGAAGAAATTTTCACATATTAAGATATAGGGAAGTCATTCTGGCTTATACAAGGTTTAACTTGAACTTTAGGATAACCAAAACAGCCTATTTGTGGCCTATTAAATATGCATTGAGGACTTCCCTGGTGGTCCAGTGGTTAAGACTCTGTGCTTCCACTGCAGGGGACGTGGGTTCAATCCCTGGTCTTGGAACTAAGATACTATATGCCACCTGGCACGGCCAAAAAAAAAAAAAAAAAAAAAAAAAAAATGCATCGTGCATCTACTTTAACCATTAAAGAAAATATGCATTTAAAAAAAATGGGGTAACTGTGGTTCAGGCATTCCAAATGGAGCCAAGGTGGTCATTGTGGACATAGTTTCAGACACGTTCTTGTATTACTGAGAACTTAAATTTTCTGAACTGTATCAGACTCAAGGACGCCACCAGCCATTCTCAGAACAATATCTGCTAGCAGCTGCCAGCTGCAAACTTATAGTCTCAAGGTCTCCCCTTGTAACTATGCAACCGTTTCAGACCCCAACCAATCCTTACATAACAAGCACCTGTACTTCCTGCCAGCTCCAATCCTAATTCTTGACAAATAATTTATGTAATTTTGGGCCTTTTGCGTTTATAAGCTGCCCCCATTTTGTAGTCCAGTGGAACACAATTCAAGTGCTGCTTCAATCTGTGTCTCCCAGGCTATAGTCCTCAATCTGGCTTAAATAAAACTCTTTTTTTCTTCCTAATATATATGATATATTGGTTTATTGATTATTTCCCTCCACAATTTCGACTCCTTATGCCTTCCACCTTTAATTCTCAAAGCTATTAAATGCCAAATACTGACACATTATACTGAAATATAACTTTTTTTTTTTTCTTTGTGGGCTACTGTCTTGCAAGATCTTAGTTCCCCAACCAGGGATTGAATGTGGGCCACAGGAGTGGAAGCGTGCCGTCCTAACCACTGGACCACCCGGGAACTCCCTATATACCATTCTTAACACAGCATGCTCTTCATAATTGATGTTTCATTATTTTTAAGAATTGTTATATTTCATGTATTCATGTATTTCACATTCGCAAAAGAAATCAACCATTTTTTTCACCCTACATTTTAGGCAAAAGGGTGCAATTCTTGTAGCAACATGATTCTAGGGTTCTAGAACGAAAATATATCCTAATGTGATAACAACTATTTGTCTCCTAACTTCACAAATCTTTTAACCTCTCTGTGCTTGGGGTTCCTTAATATTGAGGAATTAAACAATTAGTTAAACAATTTAAACAAATACTTAAATAATATTTAAAAGCTATTTTCAACTCCTAGCATCCCTTCCATCTCTCCACCCATCATGATGGGGCTGGCGCGTGGAAAACACCTGCTACACCCCTTTCCAGGTCCACTCCCTCAATTGGTGGTTATAGGCCGCTTCCCCGACGGTCCGCTTGAGGGCGCTGTGGCTACAGCTAGCTCCGGGAGGCAAGGAGCGGACCGGGGGCGGGGATCGAGGGCCGAGGACGTCGACGCCGGCGTGGGCGCGAGCGCGAGCGCGAGCGCGGTGCACGCCGGGAGCTGTCACTAGGCCCTCCGGCTCCCGGCCTCCGTGTCGCTGCCGCGGTTGCCAGGAGAGCGGCGCCGGCAGGGAGCGGCCGAGCCCCGGCAGGTAATAGCGTCCCCGCCCCCAGCGCGGTCGCGAGGCCGGCCGCCGGCCCCGAGCGGCCTGCTTGGCCCGGCTCGTTCCCGAGCCGCCGGGACGCCCCG